CCCTCGAAGAAATCGAACGGATTGCCAACACCAACGTGTCCTTCATTCTTGTCAAGGTCTTTTATCATCGGTCTCTTCGTCAGCACATCTTTCACACTAGTCAGACGGACTGCCAAACGCTCCAACAAATCTTTCGCATCGATCCCTGTGAGCTTGGTATGGTCGCTACAAATATGACGGGCTTCCACTGTCTGCAGGGAGACGCCCCGAGTAGACCTGCAAGTTATTATATGAAATGTGCCACCTTCAGGCTTATCTGGTCGTACGACCAGGGCAGCCATTTTGCAAGAGCAATCGCCTTCTACAGGGCTCCAAACCCGAAGCGCCAGACATTTCAAGGTTTCGTGACGACCATGGAGTCGAACCTGGATCTCGTCTTACACTCACTTTTCCTGCCTCTTTCCGGAGCCACCCAAACGGTAATAGACATGGATAGCAAATCGCGAGAATATTCTCTGGCATTTAAGACTATCGAGAGATTTACGGTTTCGCGCATCGACTCCGAAGCTGAAATGGAGCCCTACGAACTCTCCGCAATGCCGCGGCAAATAAGCGCATTGATTGTCAAAACTGAAAAGAGCATTCACAAAACTCGGCAATGGATGTTAGCTATGGACTCATTAATGAAATTTCAACTCAATCGGGGCTCCAAACCAATTCAAGGTCTTACCATTGAATCCAACGAGAATAATTATGCATCGGTTTTGGACAGTATACAACTTACCCAGAGCAAACTGGATGTAATGGAGATCAAGTTCAACTACATCCTCGCAAGAGCTAAGAATTTACATATGGCTGCAAGTTTGTCCTGAAGCACGGCTGAAAATCAATGCTGACTTCCTAGCAGATTACCCAGAAGATGACTCGGGATAATGCCGTCGCCAGCATCAAGCTGGCAAGGGCGACTTCCCTCGACAGCTCGTCAATGAAATCCGTCGCCATCATGACCATGGCCTTCTTGCCAGCCACATTTTTCGCCGCTCTCTTTGCACTTCCATCGCTAAATTGGAATGCCAAGCCTGTAGTGCAAGGTACTTTCTGGGTGTACTGGGCGTTTACGCTCCCATGCACTGCATTGGTGTTCCTTCTTTGGGCATTTCTCACACAAAGAACAGAATTAAGATGTCTCTTTGCTTGGCTCAGGAGGCAAACCAAGGCGCCTAAAGTTGATGAACAAGTTGCAGAGACGGTGTGTACCTTGGGTGAAACCTTTACCCAAATCCCTTCAAGAGTTTCAGGGTTATTTCCAGAGGATAATGTTCTTAAGGAATCGACATCTCAAAACCTACCGACGGGGCAGGTCTAGGGATTTTTTTTCTGTGCTATTTGGATGTAAGGTAGACATCTACAGCGATATATTGGATTACTTGGACAACCTGGGTGAAACATATACGCGTTGAAATTAGGAATTCACCTCACTCACTGTCTGCCGTATATAGGAGAAAAATATCGCCATCGATACACAGATCATGAGCATTTATTAAGAGTTTTGCTACCCGGACACCAATACATACTCCTCCACAAAAGCCTCAGCTGGACAAGCTGCCTACTATCTGTGGCACATTAGGGGTTAAATACATGCAGTTCTTAGTAACTTGAGGCCAATAAATTTAAATAAATAATGATTATTATAAGAATTAAATACTAAGAATTAGTCTTCTGAAGATTTATTTCCTAAAATTCTTTATTTAGGATATGAAATAATTATCGGCAGGATTGAGGAATGAGGTGATATATGTAAATAGAAATAGGTTTGTGTACGAATAGTAATACTCTCATTTAATAAACACATTTTCTTGTTGTATTGTTTGGTACTGACTCCGCTTTTCGTAATGGCGATACGGAGCCACTTTCCAACGCGGCGCTTTTCAGCCTGCCATCTAGTCCTTTGATGCTTTCATCGAGATGGCTGGCAAACAATCTAAGGGTGATAACATTTATTTGGTTTACAGTTGCTACGAACCTAAGGTTTCATTGTTGCAGTAATGTTAGAAAGGCATGTATTTGGCCCTTGTGGGCTGTACTGGGCTCGCGATGCATTGGTTCCAGGCGCCTCCTGTCTGTGGCAGCAACTTCCAGCACGCAACCAAAGTAGATGATGGGTATCCGCTGACGCAACCGTCGCACATTTCGTAGCGAGGGTCGGCATCAGATCGAAAAGAGTCTTCTGTCATTTGAAGAGTCATGCTCTCAATGAGTCTGTTTTAGACAGCCTATCTGACTCGAGGCGGCCTTTTTGTGTTGCAGTGGGTGCAACTTGGTTGGGGCTCGTATTACCGACACGGGTACCCGTGTAAATACCAATACGTAATATTTGTACGGGTACCTATGTAATAAAGATCCATTATATTATAACCTCGAGGGATATCTCTTTTATATATACCTATAGGGTATTTATTAATACTATTAAATAAAGATAATAATTTTATATATATTTAGCTATTTAAGGTATTATATTTAACTTAAAGATAATATACCAGCCTGTAGAAAACTAAGAATAATATATAATTTAGTTATAATACTATAGCTATTATCTATAGAAAGAAGACTTTAATATATATAGTTATATAGAAGTAAATAACTTTATAGCTATTATCTATAGGTAGATAACTTTAATATATATAGCTATTAGAAAGTAAATAACCTTAATATAAGGAGTTATAAGTAAGTAAATAACTTTATAGCTATTATTTATAGATATCTATATAAAATAGTATTAATATATATAATTAAAGAAAAGTAGTAATTTCTATTATTAAATATATAAAATATATAATATATAATTTATTCTCTCTATATTAATCTACTTAAAGTCTATAAATAAAATATAATATCTTTTTATAATACTATATTTAATATAATAAAATATATAAATTACTCTATGTATTATAATATAAAAATTAAAATTTCTCTCTTATAGAAGACTTTTTATTTTTATATTAATATTTAATAAAATACTATTAAAATAGCTTATTTATATCTAAATAATACTTAAGTAATTTCTATCTATATATATTCTTATATATTAATACCAGCTAGAGTATCTTACTTTTTAAATTAAAACTAACTATATATTCTATAGTAAATTAATAATAACTAGTAATAATAACCTTATAGTTTTCTTTATTTAGTAATTAACCTACTTAATCTTTAATATTAATAGAGTTAATATACTATACTAAGTAATTTAACCTCTTTTAATTTCCTATATAGGCAGAATCTCTATATTTAAATTATAGTATATAATATTTAGTATAGTCTATAAGATTAACCTTTAAGTAAGATACTATATTTATAGAGATATCAGCTTAAAGATAAATAGTATATTAAATATATAGATTAATAATTTTAATAATAGTAATAATATTCTAATTTTAATATTAATTTAATATAGAGTTATAATTATTTACAGCTTATAGATTAATTATATTATTAATAAGAGTATACTATATTAAGTATAAGCTAGCTCTCTTTAGCTATAGATATAACTACCTACTAACTAATTATTTAAGCTATTAAGAATTTAGATATTTATATATATAATATTAATTAAAATAGCTATATTTAGTAAATTTAGTAGAATAAATAGTAATTTTATTATTCTTAATTTATTATTAATTTAATAATAAAATCCTTACTAAATATATTTAACTCTCTATATAAACTTAATTATAATATTATAATATTAAGCTATTAAATTACTATATATATACTTAGAGCTTTATCTTTTTTTTTATTCTAATAATATATAATAATCTATTTTTCTATTAATCTTATAAATATTAATAGAAGGGCTTTATATAATTAAAATTCCCCTCTAATAGAACTTTCTCTTTATAATATAATATCTCTTTTAGTAGCAGCCTAAATATACTATATTTCTTAATACTATAAAAAAGGCTACTCTATTAGCTCTATCTCTATATTTATAAGGGGAAAGTAGTTATAAAGATAAGCAGCTAGATATTGCAAAAGATACCATCTTCTATATTATAAGATTAAAGCTTAAGGTTCTTAAAGTAAACTATAAGTATCTCTATATAAATAAGGAGGTAAAGCCCTAGGGCTACCTATAGTTATATAAACTAACTAATAGAGTAATCCCAAATTCTTATTATAATTTAGATATAATACCAGCTCTAAATATTTCCTAAATAGTTTATTTTTACTTATTTAATAGCTTATAATAAATAGAATATTCCTCTTAAGAGTAATTTAATTTATAATTATATTAACTAAAGAAAATATTAAAATAATATTATAAACTCTATATAATTTAATTTAGATTTTTTTTTATAAAAATTAAAAAGTAATATTCTATATAATATAAATTTTACTGCTAGTTTATTTCCCTCTTATAGTTATAAAAGTACTCTCTATAATTATATATATAGATAATAGTAATTTATTTACTTTTAGACTTATTAGACCTTTAGATTATAAAGATATAACCTTATAGTACTGCCTAAATATTAATTATAATATAGAATTCTTCTTATAAGGTATATTTAGCTTTAAAGAGAAAAATATTATTAGAGAAAATTAAAAGAGCTATAAAGTAGGTATTAGAAGTATCAATTAGGTTTATTATAGTAGAATAGAGATATAGTAGGTTAAATTAATACTATAGAAGCTATTAATTATTAAATTAAAAGCCAATTTAATATTATTATTAAGGGCTAAAAAATCACTTATAATATAATAGATCTTTATTATATAGGTACCTATATAAATATTACGTATTGGTATTTGCACGGGTACCCGTGTCGGTAATACAAGCCCTTGGTTGGACCAGGATGACTAACGCTGAGGTTGCGGTAAGCTCCATCACGTGGTGTCGAAAGCTCGGGCCACGGATGCACCACCACAGCCCCACTACGGGTCCCGCCGCAACTCTCTTCTCGTGTCCACCACAACCTCACAGGTGTCCCATTCAACAACGGAGAATGATAGAAAGATGCAAAAAGATATGCCGTCGCATCTTCAAAAAAGAAAACGATTGCAACTGACGGGAATCGAACCCATAGCTCGGGCATGGGAAGCCCGCATTTTACCATTAAACTACAGAAGCTGTTGGAAGCACGACTGTGCGAATTTGCAAGACACCGTTGAGTCCAAAAATATAAAGGTAGACCCACAATGTGGCGCTCAGCCACACCTGTGTGGGGTAATCCATAGCTGGGGAATTCAGTGGAACTGGCAAGTCCAACCCCTCCAAGCAACACTCACCAAGCTCCATCTCATCATCGCGGCCCTCGTTTCTCAATACGTGACCTGGTCGTTCCTCTTCACCTTACCTCGCACCTCTCAACCCACCGCACCTACAACCCCCTGACCCTCCCACCGATTGCCCGACTCGCCCATCATGGCTAACAAGGTCGATCGCATTGTCGCCCGGCTGCAGAGCAAGATCACGGAAGGCGACTACTACGAAGCCCAGCAGCAGACCCGCGTCGCCGCCTCCCGGTATATCAAGACCTCCAACTGGCCTGCCGCAATCGACATCCTCGCCAGTGTCGCCCAGCCGCTGCTCCGCGCCGGACAGGGCGGTAGCGGCGGCGACCTCTGCATCATGCTCGTCGACGTCTACCGCCAGGCCGAGCTCAGGCCCGACGCCGCCGCCAAGGGCCGGCTGCTGACCTGCCTACGCCTGTTTGACTCCGAGGAACCTACGCGCAAGAAGTTTATTGGGGAGATGATTGGGTAAGTCATTGAAGGAAAGGTTGGAGTGGACGCTGTGCTGACGAGGGCTTGGGATAGCTGGTCTGCCAAGTTCGGCGAGTTCCCGGCTGGTGACTCGGAGCTGCACCACGTTGCGGGATCGCTTTACGCTGAAGAGCACGACACATACGAGGCGGAAAAGCACCTGATATTGGGAACCAAGGACTCTCCCGAGGTCTTGACCAAGATGGAATACAAGTGGTACAAAGAGGGCGAGCCGCACCAGGCTGGCTTGTTCGCCGGTCGTGCCGTCCTGCCCTACCTGCTTATCGGCAATGTCCGCGCCGCCAACACATGCTACCGCCTCTTCACCAGCACGCTGAGTACCGAGAACCCCAACTTGGGCGTCCAGGACGTCTCGGGCATCAGCGGCGACATCCGCATCTTCCCTAGCCTTCCGCTCCTCAACTTCCTCGGCTTCCTGCTCATGGCCGTCCAGCGCTCAGCCCCCGAGCTGTTCAAGGGCCTCATCTCCAAGTACGCCACCCAAATCAACGAGGCCGAGTCGTGGGCGGATGCGCTCCAGATGATCGGTGAGATGTACTTTGGGATTACCCAACCCCGCAAGAGCAATCCCTTGATGGATATGATGAGCGGGCTGTTCAGTGGAGGCGCCCCTGGCGGTGCGCCTCAGCAGCAGCAGCGGAGACCGGCTGCGCGGGGTATTGATGCCCCGGCGCCAGAGGGACTGGATTAATGGGCTGTCTGCGTGGGTCGGAGTTCGTGTATCATAGGGACCTGAGAGAAAAACATAGACAGCAGGCGTTGATAGGCAAAGGCATGGTTAACCACGGGGCTGTTCTTCTGGTTCGAACATCCAGTTGTCCTCGGCCAAAGCTGCGACTTTGGCTCTGAGACTTGCCCTAACAGCTTCGAGGAGTTCTGTGATTGCGTATTAGTGACCGATGTTTGCTTACTCATGCGCGAGGCTGCAAGGGCATACCTTCGGGCTGCTCAGGAACAGTGCTTTGGTTAATCTGATGATGCTTCACGGCTTCAGCCAAGCGTTGTCTCTCCTCTATTAAACAATGAGCATTTCCAGTCCCAAGCTGGCATACACACATAGAGACCGAGGGGCGCATACTCTCACTCTCCTGGTGATGATCCAGCGGCACCTCGTCCTCATCCTCGAGCACCGGCGTTGGCGGGTCACCAAGCTCAATCTCGCCATGCTTGTCGCGAACGACAATTTCAGACGTGTCGGAGAGCACGTCGACGTCGAGGTGCAGCGTCTCGGTCGAGGCAGACGAGCTGGCGGTAGGTCGCCGGGTCAACTGGCTCTGGAAGAGGTTGCGACGGACGCTGGCCGAGGTGCCGTTGCGGCTGCGAGAGACGCCGCCGTTGGTGGTTGTGCGAGAGCGGTCGGCCATTGGCGCAATTTTTATTTGAGAGAGGAATGGAAGAGGGGTTTCATAGGATTCGTGTGTGAGGTTTGAAGATTGGGGGTTGAGATGAGTAGGTTGAAGTGGGTTGTGTTCTTTGGTGGGGACGCGACAGGGACTACGAGGTGTGACGTTAGCCGCCGGTGATAGCCTTGGATAACATGACAGATGCAACATTGCCACACTTGTGACTACGTCTAAAATCGAGATACGCGTAACTAGTCTCCAACCGCTATTCTTTTCTTCCATTCTGGTTCTGAATATCCAATTCTGACGTTCGTGATCTTGGCCAGCATTTGTAGACGGCGCTTCTTATTTAGCATGTCGCATGGACATCAACGTAAATCTGCAAGTACAAATGCATTTGCCTATCAATTACGCTAAATCACAAAATCACACTTTAGAGTCCCATTGCCCCTCAAAATGACATCTTGTAGAACGACCCCAGCCTTCAAATCGAGGCTAGCAAGACTAGGTTCTGACTGTCATTTCTCCATGACACCTGGAGTCTTGATCTCTGTGGCTCATCCAACGCCCTGCAGTTATGATTGCCTGCCACTATTGTACACGCGACATCGCCTTCAGACCCCATTCGGACCCCTTGAAATGCGGGTGGAATTTGGGCCATTCTGTTTCAATCTCCATCCCTGGTGACCTTAGTTAGGATCTACAGGGAGAGGTTGTAAGCGTACTCGTCCTCCATGTTCTGGCTAACCCAAAGGACGACGGAGCTGTGTTGTGTTAGCAAATTAATCTCCAGCTTTAGAGGAGAAAGCGGATTCAAACTCACCTCAGGCCAACCAAGGCATTGCTCACGACGTTCTCAATGCCCATGCTCAAAGCAGGCATGGCCACACTAGGGACGACAAACTTGAGGACGAAGACAGTGACGCCTCCAGCCATGCCACCAGCGAGGGCGGCAAAGCCCAGGAACAGTACCACGCGAGCCTTCCACGCGACACCAGACCCACTGTAGCTGAACGAGTCAGCGCTGAGGCGCTGCTTCTCGACCGAGTTGATGATGAGCATGCCCAGGCTGGAGAAAATGAAGGGCAGCCAGTCAACAAACTTGACATGGACATCAGAGCCGTTGTTGGCAGACTTGGACCAGACGGCGGAGTCGAGCATGACGTAAAAGGCGATGGAGAACTGCGCGTAGCGATCGGGTTAGCCAGTTGCGCCGAGAACGACGGAATGCGCTCAGTGCCGTGATGGCCAGTATGTCCATTGCGAAGCAAGGGAGTAGCTGATATCGATGGCTATTGGGCGCGCATGCCGGAATTCGCGACTTACCAGAGCTCCGGCGCCGTAGACACCGGCGTTGCGGGCCCAGATGCTGTTCAGCCACTCGGGCCGTCTGAACTTCCAGAGACGCTCCTCCTCCATGTTGTCGTGTGCGGGAATGGATATCGGGTTCGTCGGGTTCGTCGGGCTACAATATGTCGGAGGATGGCGAGGTTGTTCGGAGATGCGCGAGGATGTCGGGGGCGGGCGTCGAATTAGGCACCTGACGTAGGTTCGGAGGATGAGGCAGCTCAGAAGCTCATGATGACGAGGCTGGGCGGCTCACGACGGAGGTCGGATGGCTTGGCACCGAGATGGTCACGTGCATATTCGATGCGATACTTGGTACTTGGCCCCACTGCCGCAGCGACCGCAAAACGCAGGGTCGGAGTGATGCAATTGCCCGTGTGGCAAAACATGGTCCATGCTTGCACAACGTGGGGCCAGTCGTCCTAGGACCTTGGGCATGCAGCAACTAGGAGAACAAGAAATAACAACTGGAACATCTAAAACGGCCGGTGGATGAGGAACGAGCCATGTCGCCCCGCTGGCCAGTGAGCTTTGGAAGGAGGCCAGAAGGATCGTCCTAAACGAACGGGACCCTGAAATCCATCAAAGCGACCCAGCGCCGGCCGTGCAGTAAGGGTGTACAACGCGGAGGTCCTATCGTGTCCGCACTGTTGGGTGCGAGAGCGAGAGCGACATTCCTGGAATTGCCGGGATGTGGCGTGCCTGCTGAAATGTCAAACCTGTTGAGCATGTTTCCCACATCTCGTCCACAGCAGTATTCATGCTGGATCAACCGGCTGTCTGCATGACGCAGTACCCGGCGGCAGCAACAACGGCAGTAAAGCATGAACGTAGACGAAATGTCGCAGAAAAAGCCACTCGGCTAGCAACGTGCGAATATGTGTGCCTGGGCGTATCAGAGAGGGAGAAATGGCTCCGCATCAAAACAATTGAGGCGACCTTCTCCGACCCTTTCTTCGCATGTTGGTTGGGCAGATAGTGTTTACTTACCCTGCCTGCAGCCGTCATCATCGTCGTCAAGTGAACGAACCCGCGGAATACCCACCCACCAATAAATGGGCTCATGGTTTGCGCAGCATGCAGCAGCCAGCGGCGCTGCAGCAGCCAAGAGCGGCGAGTGCGTAGCCGTCCAATGTATGTGCACACTGTACCTACATACGGTGACATTCCAAGAATCCAACGTCGCAAACTTTTCCACGGCAACCATCAACAACCCGTCTCCCGTCCCGCCGCCACACCGGGCAGACCTGCAGAAATACCACTCTCTCTGCACTGTGCCCTTTCGGCAACGCTGGAATAGAGCTGAACTGCAGTGCCGCACCCCAAAATAGCGAACAGTCCCCAGTTCTGGCTGCTTTAACCCGTGTGTCGTACCCGACTGGGGTGGCGCGTAAATGGCGGCTTGGGCGCCAGGGGGGATTGGGGGCGACTCAAGTTCTCTGCTGCAGCACAGAAATAGCGCTGGGCAGCGCAAAACGAGGCGGCTTAGAAGGGTAAGAGACGGGCGGACCTGCTGAGAGGGGCGCTGGAAATTGGCTCGATTTGCGGCAGACACGGGAGTGCGGAGGAGCTGGCGAATGAGGCAGAGGGTCGCATCCACAGGGGCCGTCGATTTGCCTCAACGGCAGTAGAGCGGCAGCCGGGCTAGTCCTGT